CTGATAAACAGTAGCTGCAGAGAAAGATTAGGTTTCATGATCCGAAACAGTTTTTATATCAAGTCCACACTTCTGTCCCCCCTCTGCTGTGAGTCTGCCACTAAATCAGTAAACTGATGGTTTGAATAATGCGTCATTTATCCGCCGTTATAATTTAAATGCGCCATAAACTGGGCCCTAAACTGTGCCACGCACTTCAGGCCAACGTTACTTAGCTAATGTAACCAACATACTTTTTTTTACCTAGACATGATCTTTTCCTAAACAAGTAGTTTTTTTGCCTAAACCTCATTACATATTTATTATTGCTGCCTTGACTGCCGAGCCCTACACACGCAAAAACAACAAAAGGGGTACCCAGTGTGTTAAAAAGGAGTATAGGCCAAGCGTCCATATGTGACGAGTTGGGAGTGATAATGTGTTGATTTTGACCAACATTCCGACTTTTCAACTGCTACTGTTGGCAGGTGTGGAAAAATTCTATAAAGAATGCCTTCAAAAGTAGACATGTTAATAGATTATATTCATCAATTAACAAAATGCAAAGTGAGAGGACAGAAGAAGAATCTAAATCCAATCAATATTTGGTCTGACCACCCTTTGCCTTCATAACAGCGTAAATGCTTGTAGGTGCACTTGCACAAAGTCAGGAATTTTGTAGGCATATCGTCAGGTGTATGATTAAACAGTTACAGGTGCTGTTGATCACCAATGAAACATGTAGGTGGAAACAACATCAACAATTGAAACTGGAAAAATGAGGTTTCACTGAGATGTGAACTCAGATTTCTGCGTTTTGAGGCCACAGTGCTCAAAACGAAGGGGCCAGTGCGGTCCATCAGAAGTACTTGTCGGATCACGGCCAAATAGCTTGGGGAACCCCCTCCCCCGACAGCTTTCCCACGCCTAGTCTCTGCAGAGATGACATTCAGGTGATATCATGTAGGAAGGAGCTTGGCACCCCCTGTGTCGCGGTTCCATGGTGTAATGGTTAGCACTCTGGACTCTGAATCCAGCGATCGAGTTCAAATCTCGGTGGGACCTGGTTTTAAGCGCAAATGCGCAGACCTTAGTCTGATCTTGTTGTATGTGGAAATTTTGGCTATGATAATATGCCATGGTGTAGTCTACCCTATCACGACTTACGTGCTCTATCATGATATGGCAAACTTTCCACAAAGCAGCAGCACGCAGTCAGGATGGCCGAGCGGTCTAAGGCGCTGCGTTCAGGTCGCAGTCTCCCCTGGAGGCGTGGGTTCAAATCCCACTTCTGACAGCTTTTTTCTGTAAGGTGAGATTGGGAGAGAAGTGTAAGCCGCTCTTTGTATGTGAAAAAAAAAAAACATACAGTGTTAGTAGTACAGCATTTGCAAGGCTGCTTTCACACAAAGCAGTGGCGCCTTCCCAGTGATTAGCAGCCTATGGCTTACGCAGCTTCTGAGTCCGGATGTGTTAACGGCCCTGAGTCCCTGCGTATCGTAACCTTTGGAAGCCCAGCAGGCTAGTATGTCTTTGTGTACAGTAGGCCTATTTGATGCAGGATGAATTGTTTGTAGGAAGTCTAACAGTGGCTTCATTTACCGTTGCCCACATCTCCTCTTGTCTGTGAACGCTAAACTGAGGAAGGTGATTGGGTCAACCAGTAAAGGTAGCCTTTTCACATGTTATCTTCTGTGTCACTGGTATTGTTGCACGCCTGCTATGTCATAGTCTCTGCATTACAAACAGCACTGTGCGCACGTTTTAGGCAGATGTGGAAAAAATACTGCAAATTAAGAATGCTTTCCAAAGTAGACATGTTAATAGATTATATTTATCAATTGAAAAAATGCAAAGTGAGAGGACAGAAGAAGAATCTAAATCAAATCAATATCTGGTCTGACCACCCTTTGCCTTCATAACAGGATAAATGCTTGTAGGTGCACTTGCACAAAGTCAGGGATTTTGTAGGCATATCGTCAGGTGTATGATTAAACAGTTACAGGTGCTGTTGATCACCAATGAAACACGTAGGTGGAAACAACATCAACAATTGAAACTGGAAACAGCTGTGTAGGAGGAATACAGCTGGGTGAGGGACAGCCAAGCTCAGCTAACAAGGGGAGGTTGCTGAAGACAGTTGACTGTCAATAGTCATACACCGTGCAAGACTGAGCACAGCAGCAAGGCACAAGGTACTTGTACCGCATCAGCAAGGTATCGCCCAGGCAGAACTTTCAAGGCAGACAGGGGTTTCCAGATGTGCTCTTTTGAAGAAGCACAAAGAAACGGGCAACCTTGAGAACTGTAGGTGCTATGGTCAGCCAAGGATACTTAATGCAGCAGAAGAAAGACAACTCATGCTTACTTTGCTCTGAAATCGGAAGATGTCCCGCAGTGCCATCAGGTCAGAACTGGCAGAAAGCGGTGCGACTGGCTGTCATGGAAGACTTGCGGCCAAAAAGCCATACTTCTGAGATGGAAACGAGGCCAAGCGACTCAGCTATGCACGAAACCAGCTGTACACAACAACACAGGGAACTGGGGTGCAGAAAAATGGCAGCTGGTGCTCTGGACTAATGAGTCAATATTTTTAATATCTGGCTGTAGGAGCAGAGCCGTTTGTTTGCCGAAGGGCGGGCGAGCGGTACAAGAATGACTATGTGCAGGTAACAGTGAATCATGGGGGAGGTTCCTTGCAAGTTTGGCGCTGCATTTCTGCAAAAGGAGTGGGGGATTCAGTCAGAATAAATGGTCTCCTCATTGCTGAGAAGTACAGGCAGACACTTAGTCATCGTGCAATACCAACAGGGAGGCATCTGACTGGCCCCAAATTTATTCTGCAGCATGACGACAACGACTCCAAAAATACAGCGAAAGTCATTAAGAGCGATGTTCAGCGTCAAGAAGAACACAGAGTCCCGGAAGTGATGCCCCACAGAGCCCCGATCTCTACAGCGTCGAGTCTGTCTGGGATTACACAAGAGAGAGAGAAGCAACTGAGGCTGCACAGAAAAAGGGTTTGAAAGAGGCCAATGCTTTTGAGTTACATGACGGATGCACACTTTGAATTCTGTCTTGTACTCATCATAAAAACAATTTTTCACTGAGATGTGAACTCAGATTTCTGCGTTCTGAGGCCACAGTGCTCAAAACGAAGGGGCCAGTACGGTCCATCAGAAGTACTTGTCGGATCACGGCCAAATAGCTTGGGGAACCCCCTCCCCCGACAGCTTTCCCACGCCTAGTCTCTGCAGAGATGACATTCATGGTGATATCATGTGGGAAAGAGGCAGACATCCCCCTCACCCAAAAGCTTTCCATTGAGAAACTGCATGGCAGCTTTATGTAAAGGTTCCATGGTGTAATGGTTAGCACACTGGACTTTGAATCCAGTGATCCGAGTTCAAATCTCGGTGGAACCTGACTTTAAGCGCAAATGCCACAGATCTTTGTGTGATCTTGTTGTATGAGGAAACTTTGACTCTGTGTCCTGACCAACTGCATTATGTTGTGGTATAAGTTGATTCATGATAACATATGTACTATATCATGAAATGGCCAAATTACTAGCTTTTATAGTCAGGATGGCAGAGGGGTCTAAGGCGCTTCGTTCAGAGAGCTAGTTTTTCAGCAGAGCAATTGCCTGTATTGGGTAAGAAATGTATGTTAGGAGATTTGTGTATAAAAAAAACATACTGTGTTAGTAGTACAGCTACAGCATTTGCAACACTGCAAAAGGGCTGGAGAGCGATACAAGAATGAGTGTCTGCAGGCAACAATGAAGCATAGGGGAGAGCGTAAGTTGTCACACTCAAAAAAGACTCCATCTCAAAAATTAAATAGCCACTTTGTGCGAGTTTGTGTTCTATGGTCAGCTTAATGTTCACATGTGGTCATGGTCACTATAATTTTTTTTTCACTGAAAAAGTAAATCATTTGCACTTTTCATTTTATACAATAAAAAGAAAATCTAAATTATAATTTTGGATAAAGTAGAGGAAGTTTCATTTAGGGATGTACTCACGTTTGTTGCCAGCGGTTTAGACATTAATGGCTGTGTGACGTGTAGCAAATTTACACTTATACAGTTATACAAGCTGTACACTCACTGCTTTACAAACTACTACAACAAAGTGTCAATTTGTCAGTGTTCCAAGAACTAGCAAGAACCTGTCCCCAAGAACACAAGTCCTTCTTTAGCATTCTTGGTTTAGAGAAACCCACCTTACTTTCCCCCGTGTCATCTTCTGAATTAAGCCAAAGCAATTTGCATAATCATGCTGTCATTCCCACCCCACTGCTCACATCGGCTCCCGTCATTAGAAATAAGTAGTAATTGTGTTCTTAGTTTTTGACAATCCTGTGTGACAACTTACCTGCCAATAGGGCAAATTGTCACAAGAGCACACTCTCTATTCAGCCATCTACAACTCTATAATAAGATAAGATATGAAGATGTAATGTAACTCAAAATATGCACCCAAGACTTCCTTCTTTCATTTGGTATGACATTTATACTTTTATGGATGATGCCCAGTAAATGTTAGCCAGTGTGAAACGTGTGACAACATACCCCGATCTCCCCTACTGTTAACATGTCTATTTTTGAAAGCATTCCTACTTTACAGGATTTTTTCCACACCTGCCTAAAACCTTTGCCCCGTGATTACTATATATCATTGGCTATGTTTAAATTGATATCGCAACCGATTTTATCTCTCACTCTTCAACTGACAATTCAACTAAACTTTCAGTGGCTAGGTCAACTGTCCTTTCAATTCCTTTCAGTGCTTAAAGTTTAAATTAATCTGCTTTTTCCTATTGTTAGCTGTAGTAGTCAGAATAAAAAACGTACAAAATAACAACCATGAAAGCTAAAACTAAAACGTCAAAAATGCTATGTTATTCTAGCTGCTTTATTATGATTGGCATATTTTCTAACATTTTATAGCCTAGCCCAATCTGCTGAGAATAACAATAACCGTTATTGCAGCCTATGTGTTTGTTCCTGCTATCAGCGTTTTCATTGCTTGAGTGGGACACATCAAAGCACAGATAAATACTACCGTACACAGAAGGGGGAGGGTTAAGGAGCCGTGGATGTAAGAGTAACGAATACTGAATGAGTAAATCCTTTGGCGCTGCTCTGGTCTAAAATAGAAACGGAGGAAGGCAGCGCCGCCCTCTGCAGCCCGCAGCAGCTCCACGTCAGGAAATTTAAACGCAGAGCCGTCCACAACACAGACAAACGCATCTTTCTGCTCCAAGGTCACCGAGCCGACCGCCTGCACAGGACACACACACACCTTCAATCCCCCAAAAGGTAAAGTAACATTAAATGCCTGTTTTGAAGGCGCTGTAAGACGAGCCGCCGGTGATCAGGAGGATTAACAGAGCTTTTGGCGTTTTCGGTGCGCCGCGGTATGCAGAGATGAGCTGCGATGAATGAGCAATAGGCTGTAGCGAGAGAAGGGCTGCATAAGGGTCCCTGTTGGATGTTGGATGAATACATATTGTGATGCGTTCACGAGCCTTTGGAGAGAAGTGGAAATCCAGGTGCGCGCAGCCGCAAGCGGTTCGTTCCTGGAGGGAAGTGATTTGGATAAAATCTTAATAGTCAAAATATTTTTAAGCCACTGATGACTCCCGCCCGGGTTAGTCCATGTAGGCCCTGAGCATGTAGACTGGCTTCATCCGGTCCCTATCCTTACATCAGCAGCATCATATGATTAGGCTGCAGTGCTGAGGAATCACTCTGCTGTTGCATCACCTTGTTAGCTCTAGTTTTCCTGATCGGGGTCCAACTTTTGCAGGTGTTTCACAGAATCTCACAGATCACAGCGGGTCTGTTGGTGATGGAAGATGTGATGAGCAGTGTTTCCCTAAATAGCTTTGGCACCAAATGAGGATGTTTCACTGGCGGTCAGGTGGTGAGTTGTAAAAATAACTTCACATGTCACATTGTGCTGCTTTCCTTTGGAAAGTGTATCACTGTGCTCTGGTTATGTAGACTGAACACCAAGCAGGCCTGTGACCAGGCAGGTGTTGACACTGAAAATTAAATAAACCATCACTAATATCAGCTTCTCTTGCAAAATAGTTGCTGTGAGATAGCATCACAATCACATCATCACGAGTTCAGGTCATTTTTAGTGAAACGACAGCCACTGTGGCCTACAGTAATAGCCATACAGGACAAGAGTAGGCTAAATGCTAACACATAGAGAACTGACTTAGTACCTAATGTCAGTTAAACAGTACCAATTTAAAAGTAACCAAAACATGTATTTAAAATAATCTCGATTGTCAAGTAATCCTTATTACAAACTTATCTGTTACTTTGTTTTCAACAGGAGAGTGGTTGCAATGAATGTTGGACAGTAAATTGACTTTGCAACCTATTAAGGCTGCAATAGCATAAGCCACAAAAAACTAATTCATCCGCCCTAAGGAGGCTGATTGGTTGGGGTGGAGAAGCTGTTTTCTACTTTTATCACATTAATTAGCACCCCAAATTGAAAGTGCGTTTCAATTAAAGTAATAGTTTGGACATTTTGGAAGTGACACTCTTGCTGAGAAGTAGAAGAGATGATGAATACCACTCTTATGACTGTACACTAAATATGAAGCTGCAGCCAGCAGGCGCTTAGCACAAACACTGGAAACAGGAGAAACAGCTAACTTGGCTGTGTCCAAAGGTAACAAAATCCACCTCCCAGCACCTGATATGTAACCTTTAATCTGTACACAAACTGAAGTGTAAAAACCGCACTTTGTGGTTTTATTGGAGGGTGTACTGAACTATCTCTTGGCCAGGTGCAGTCACTTCCTGGTGGTAGCTTATGTTTACCGTACTGACATGGGAATGATAGCAGTCTATTCATCTAACTCTCGCCAAGAAAGTGAAGCGTAGTTTCCAAAATGTCCAAGAATTCCTCTAAAACCACACTGTAAATGTTTGCGGCACTCTATACAGCCTAAACAACTTACTTTAGTGACAGTGATCTGGTGGGAGTCTGCTTGTCACCAAAGGATGACAGAGAGTGCATCCTAGAGCAGAGGTTTTCATAGTGTGAGGCGGGCCTCCCCAGGGGGGCTCCAAACAGTTTCAGGGGAGGCTCAGTTAATGGAATTGAAAAAAATGTTACTTTAGTTATCAAAAGGAGATCACAATGAATAGCCTAAATGTGTGTGATTTGGTTCAAAGACACAGTAGTTTTGGGGGAATTTTACTGCTTTTTCCACCTTCCAGAGTCAGAAACTGAACTGATTTTTTTAATGTATTTGGTGTAGTCTGAATTTATGTTATATTTAGTTATATTAACAGTAGCATTAGGCTATCTTTGTTCAATTGCTAAATGTCTATGGGATGAATAACATAATAATAATAATAATAATCTTTATTTATAGAACACTTTTCAAAAACAAATTACAAAGTGCTTTAACATGTGCAAAGGCAGTAAAACACATAAAAACAAAAAACACTAAAATACATGTTAAAAGTAAAACTAAAATAGAAAAATATCAAATCAGGTATATGCTCTCCTATAAAAGTATGTTTTAAGAAGGGACTTAAAAGAGTTCACTGACTCAACCGTTCTTGGGCAGGCTGTTCCAGAGCCTCGGGGCCCTGACTGCAAACGCTCTGTCCCCTTTAGTTTTCAGTCGAGACTCTGGAACAGACAACAGACCTCTGCCCGAGGATCTCAAGGTACGTGCTGGAGCATATGGGACTAAAGGTCAGAGATATAACAGGGCAAGAGGACATGAAGAGCTTCAAAAGTGATCAATAACATTTTAAAGTCAATTCTAAAGAATACCGGGAGCCAGTGGAATGAAGCTAATGATGTGGTCATATTTCCTTGTTCTAGTTAAAAGCCTGGCAGCTGAGTTCTGGACAGTCTGGAGCCAATCAATATCAACATGACCATGATCCCATAGGCATCCAAGAATTGAGCAACTAAAAACTGAAGGTTTTTTTTCCACTCTGGATTTTATTTTTTTATGTTACATGTAATGTTTCAGTCTGTTTTGTAATGGAAACATTCTTCGGTTGTCATTGTCCACACTGATTGTTGCCCTCTTAAGCAGGGGCCTCTCTGGTCATGTGCGAAGGAGCATTAATGGTGAACTTTTGACTGACTGTGACACTGTCACTGTTTCATTACTCAGGGGTTAAAGGTTGACATTTTTGTCAGAGGTTAATTTTGTTGGTGAGGTTGTGCTCAGATATTTCTGTGCCACACACAGTTGACTGACGCGCTCCTGTGTACCTTGGAGATATGAATAAATTTCTGTAGTGTGTCATAGGTTTGGATCAGGTTTCATGATCATGACCTTTTTCCATGTTCCCTGGGGGATGTTTGTTATGAACACAAGCTTACAAAGAACACCGCCTGATACAGAACAAGCTATTGTAATCCACATTAAGAGCATATGACGCTAATAAACACTTAGCAATTACCTTTAAACTATAAAAAAGTAAACATCCACATTTGTTGTCCAGGACTTTTATACTATTTTTATTGGATAATGGTGATACCGTAGTATCAGTCACATATTTTAGTGGATATTAGCTCATTGATGATATATATATATATACGTATGTCTGCTGAAAGGCCAAAGTAGGTTTGAGGTCAGTTAGAAATAGTGGCATCATTACATAGTTTCTCCATCTTAGAGAACTGACGAGTTGATTTTTCCAGCTATAAAATGTTCAAAATGTATCACCCAAAAAAGTAATAATAATATATAATAATATAGTATATAAATATAATTACACGTCTAGGCCTGTTTATTTTATAGAGAAACTGGAGGTGAAATCCTATTTTAAAAGCAGTGAAAAGTTGCTAACTGGTAATTGACAGGGTTTTAATTAAGCACTTTACCACCCAGAGATCACCTGTCAATCAAACTCTGTGGGTATATATAAGAAGTCTTTATCCTTGGATTCTCTGCTAATGAAGTTTCTGTAGGTGGCTGAACAGCCATGGTTGAAGCTAAAAATACATAAATTCCTAACCTTGATTTTAACATTCAAAGCCTCAGTGTCACCCATTTTGTGTTGCATATACTGACATCATAACCTGGCTGCAGCTGGATGTGCGTAACCTTTTGTGCCATTCTGCACATCAGATTAATCTCCACAATCTGACGATGCTCGGTTAAACGCTATATGTATGATATTTCATTTCCTACGTGATCAAATATCCACGCTTTTGCTTCAAGTCATGAAAGCTGGAAGCTCAAATGTTGAAAGGAAGATGTCACAGAGATCAGTGCCTCTGACCTTCATGATGTACCCGTGGGAGTGCAGCTAAGCGGAAGCCTTGGATTGGATGTTGAATGTGGGTGTTGGCAGGCCCCATGGAAAAGTGAATGGAAGGAGTCCTAGCATGCTGTTGTGTCCACAGAGGTGTAGTTGTGTATAGGTGACGGTTGATCAAACCTTCTTTACAAATGGCCTGTCTTGATGTTAAACTGCCAAGGAGTGCTGCATAAATGTGCTTTTTCTGTCAGTAATTCAAACCCCCAAAAAGAATCAGTAAACGCATGGAGTCTGCAGCTTTGCAGGTTGGGAGAATTATTCTGTGTTGACAGAGGCTTACCATTCAGTTTTAGTGGTCAGAGGTGTGTTGACGGAAATGTATTAGACCACTTGAAAGTTTTTTAATCAAGGCCCCTCACCAGGAATTAGCTCAAGGGCTTCAAAGTGCAGAGGCTGACAATAGAGTAGACTGGGTATTATAGTCTTAGTATATTTTATGGGAAGACCTCCTGCCTCGTGGCCTTTTTGATCAGAGAGCAGCTTTGAGAGAGAGCCATTGTTTCTCGTTTGTTTGTTGGTGTGCAAGACCAAGGGTATGTGTGTTTACTGCATCACTGTAGGGAGATTAGATGTTGTGTTGATAAGAGGAATGAAATGTGTGGTTCAGTCAACATTTGAAGAGTTGCTGGTTAATGATGAACTATTTCTAAAACAAAGTGAACACTGACACTCAGTTTTACTCAGAGGTGACCTTAGCGCTAATCTTGCGTTGACATAACTTTAAGTCCCATGAGACTTGGGGAGGTGGGGGGGTTAGGTGTGGTGAGGGTCATGCCGGCAGCAGCTGACTGTAGAGGTCAAGTTTTTTTCTTTTGTCTGACAGAGCTTACATCACCTGTTTATTTGAACTGGACTTTAGTTGGAACTATTGAATACTTATGCTGTTCAACGTATGTGTTGTGTGTCTTATACAGCTTCAACAGGAATGTCTGCTTGGCCCCCTAAATCTGATTTAGTCATGTTCCCACCACAGCACCTGTCTGTCATGTGACCTT